AGTCAGCCTCTGTTTGTGCGTGCAGCAGGTCCCTGGAACATCCTGGCCTTCCGCTTATGCGTACCAGACATTGACGTGTAGCAGCTGTTCTCAAAACGTGTCCCCTCGACTACTTTAGGGGGTCAAAACTGTTTTCATGATCATACGAAGGCATTTTAATTTCTGATGCAGTGAATGTTTGGTAGGTATAACCTACCCAGAAGCTCTTTGGGGAGAAGGGCCTTCAGTCATTGTTCTGATACTGGAAAATCTGAGGCCTGCTTTATTAAAGTTATCTGCTGATGCATCTTATTGGAAACATAGTATCATAGATTAGAATTGGAAATGAGACTTGAGTTCACTGAGTGTAATTCCCTCATTTTACAGATGAGGAAACTGAGGCTTCGAGAGGCTAAATGACTTGCCCAGAGTCACTCGGCTATTAAGTAGCTGAAGCAGGATCAGAACTCAGGTCTTCTTGGCTGAAAGTACAGAGCCCAATGCACTGCACATTTGAACTCATTGAAGGATGCAGTCCTTTTAGCCTTTGTGCCCAGCTTAGTGCTTTGAACCAAGCATAGTAGACCGAGGACCTGTAGGGGCCTGGGAGACTGCCTGGTACAGAGGAGGAGCCAGGGCTGTGGCCAGAGTCCCAGAGACAGTTGTTGTCTGAGGCCAAGTTTGCCCAGAGGCTGAGGCTGTCTCTAGTGAGACCCTCACGCTTTCTCCTGGGCCAGGTTCCGGGAGCTACTTGGGAGCTTTATTATGTATTGTGAACTCACTTAATAGAATCGTGGTCACGGAGAGTTCTTTCTAATTTTCATCTTTTATTGTGAACTTAAATGCCTGAACAGAATATTTCCAGGCGCGGAGCAGCTCGTCAAGGGTATTGTGCTTCCCTCTCAGGCGGCTCGCTTTTTTCAGAAGCATTTCGAGCCCACGTGTTATTTTCAGAACCGTCCTGCTTGTTTGTGCTCCCTTCTGATCTTCCTTCTGTTGCTTCTCGAGAAAAGAGAAACATGTCAGTGGCTCCTTCTCTTTCTTTGTCTCTGTCTGACAGTCTCTCTCCTCTTTTGGCATCTCCCTCCTCCATCCCCAGTTAAAAGCCTGAGAAAAAGGAAGAAGAAGCCTGGTCCAGTGGAGTCCACGTCCCCTGTGCGTCTCTCTGTCCTGCTCAGGTCCCTCCGCCACGTGGCAGGAGGGGAGGCCCAGGGCTTCGGCCTTCCCGGTCTCTGTTGCCATCGCTCTTCTCGGCTCCTTTCCTTCTGCCTCAGTTAGCGCTGCCCCGATTTGCCACTCTCCTTTTTGTCATCATTTTGATAATGTGGCGCCAGCCCCGTTACATTCCCTGTCTGCTGCCATTTTCACCATGGGTGGGCACTCTTTAGAGTCTTGTTTGCTTTTCTCTTCTCCCTCATCATCCACCCTTCAGGGCAGGAAGCTTGTTTTCCTTGTGAGTGTTCCCTGGCGCTATCCTCGGGAATGCCTTCCCTCCCTTACTTGTTTCCCTGGTGAAATTGATATATTTCAGCACCAGATTGGGTGTGTGTGTGTGTGTGTGTGTGTGTGTGTGTGTGTGTCTAGGCCTGCTCTTCACTCCTGGCCTAGCTCAGGTCATATATATATATATATTTTTTTTTTTTTTTGATGAGGCAGTTGGTTTTAAGTGACTTGCCCAGGGTCACACAGCTGGTAAGTGTCAAGTATCTGAGGCTGGATTTGAACTCAGGTCCTCCTGACTCCAGAGCCAGTGCTCTATCCACTGCGCCACCTACCTGCCCCTCTCAGGGCATCTCTTTTGAGCCCCTCGAACCCCACAGCTAGACATGACCTCGCTCCTTACGTTTCTCATTCAATTCTCAGACGGCTGCTATTCCCAGCAAACATGCGTACAAGTAGTAATGCTAGGGACTGAGGGGCAACTGTGATGTTTAGCTTCATGGAGGCTGGCCCAGTGTGATAAAAGTTCTGTGAGAAGTCTGAGGGTGAAAAAGGTCATGAGTAGCTTTGGAGGTGGGGAGAAGTGGTGACTCTGATACCTAGAGGTGACATTGGATTTGGGCTTTAATGGAAGAGCAGCAATCCATCCATGTGGGATGGGCACGGGAAACAGTGAACAATGGCTTGCAGGACGTGTATCGCGTTGGGTCTGTATTAGGAGAAGAAAACAGTCTGGTTTGCTTTGATTGTAGAGGGAGCTAACGGGGACGGTGGCTGGGGTGCTGCCTCTGGAGGCAGGAAGCCCTGAGTTCAGATGTGACCTCTAGACACTTGGTAGCTGTGTGGCCCTGAGCAAGTCACTTCACCTCTGTCTGCCTCACTTTCCTCAACTGTAAAATGGGGATCAGTTTACATTTCAGTGCCTGGAGCACAGGAGGCACTTAACAAATGCTTGTTCCTTTTCCTTCGTGAGGGAGAATAATATAGCTATAAGGCTGGAGAAGTAGGCTGGCACCAGATCGTGCAGTGTCTTAATTGCTCTTTCATTTAGTAGGAAAATAAGGACCTATTGAAAGATGATAGTAGAGGAGTGACCAACTCAGCCAGAACATGGTCATCTGGTTCAGCCGCCTTTCTTGACGGTAGAGACTGAGGCTCAGGTCACGGGACATCTCTTGGGCCCCACAAGCCATTTCTCTACTTCTGGCTGCCTAGGAGGTGAATGGTCTGGGCAGGCCAGGACTGGGGGTAGCTGAGCTTGGTAACTGGATGTCAGGCTGCTGGCAGGCAGAGAGAACTTTGAGATTTTCAGCAGGTGACAGGCCCTGGCTGCTGGCCCACTCCAAAGAACTGAAGTCCAGATGTAAGAGCGAGATTTGGGGGGGGCCGTGATTGTGAGTTTGGAGTTGGGGAAAGGGCTCCATGCTGGAGAGAAAGATGGAGGGGTGCATCTTGTGTTCTCTGTCTCCTGCTCATCCCACCAACACACACTTCCGTCTCTAGCGCAGGGCCTTGCCCTTAGAATAATTTCCTAATCAGGCCTTTTCAACACTTCTTAGAACTTTGTATTCTTCTCTTGCTATCTTTAAGCGTTTCTCCGTCACTGCTAGCAGAGAAACAACCTCTCAGAGACAACAAGGCAAGGGAGCATAGTATATAGAGCTGGATGAGGCTTTAGGGAGTCATTCTGCGGATGGGGAAGCAAGTTCAGTAGCATTAATAGCAAACTAAATAAATCCCCATCTAATGCCAAATCTCCATCACGAGGCTCAAATCGAAGTGGTATCAGGCCAAGGAAGCAGTGCCTCCAGCTTTCAAACTCTTTTCAAAATCAAGAGAGCAAGTGTTTGAGTGAAAGTGTGAGGCACACAGATTCTCTCCAGAAGAGGTGATGGCCCTTCCCGAGAGGGAAAGATGATTTACTCGATGGTATTCAGTCAGTGGAAGAGCCAAGACTTGGAGGATCCCTGAGTTGGAAGGGTCCATCCCCTTGACAGCATCACTGTTTACCCAACCTTCCTCCCCAGAGACAGCCTCGAGCACTGGACCTGGAGTCAGAAAGGCCTATGTTCTTATCTATCCTCAGACACCTCTAGTTAGGTGACTTCATTAACATCTGTGCCTTAGTTTCCTCATCTGTAAAACCTACAGAGGTCTAATGGGCTATATTTGTAAAGGACTTTGTAAAGCTTAAAGCACTAAATAAATGCTTCCTGTAATTATGATTATCATTGTGGTTATTCTTAATATGATGATGTTGAGAGCTTGAGCACCAGCCCCCGCTTGGGGCAGTCCATTTCATTTGGAGGTAGTGCTAATTGTTAGAAGGTGTTGCCTGACTTCAAGCCTAAATTTGCCTCTTGGCAACTTTCCTCCCATTATTCCTGATTCCGTCCTCTGGGGTCAAGTGGAACAGCAGACCCACAGGTCAGCCCTTCACATACTCGAAGATGGTCTCTTGACTTGGAATTCAGGGTTCTTTCTTCCTACTGTGCTGTGCTAGGAGGAGAATACCTTCCCAGATGGGAAGGTTGTGATGGTGGATATCTTAAAGAAGCAGTTGGCATCTAACCCTTTGACCTCAAGGAGAAAAAAAGGGGGGCCAGGGGGTCCCAGGCCATATGTCGAGAGGGGAAGGTTAACAACACTACTTATATCCCCATCAGGGACCTTGTTCTGTCTGTGAAGTTTTTGCCACATGATATTAGAACCTATCCTCTGAGTCACTCTTTACTCAAGGAAGCCAGAGCCTATGGGCAGCAAGATGGTGTCCTTGAAAAAAGCTGGCCTTCAGGTCCTGGCTCCAGCGCTCGGTAGCTGTGTAACAGCCATAGGTCATTCCTGCTCTTGGTGCTTTGCTTTTCCTGTTATGTTTTGACTACCAAAGATCACATTGATTTCCTTATGTTTTGACTACCAAAGATCACATTGATTTCCATTAATGAAATAGGACACAGTTGTGGGTGCCTAGTACTGGGAATAAGGTGCCAGAACCAAAATTGATGGAGGTGGGCTGCCCCTTGGGTAGTCATCCCAAAGCTCTCCGCATACTCCAGAGGTCTGTTGACATAGGAGCTGCTGGGATCTGGGTTAGTGCTGCGAAGAAGTCGGTCTGCAAACCTTGAGCAGAAGGTTTGCTATTTGAAGGGCCTATTCCAGCCCCTGCCCTCCTCGAGCTTCCTGACCAGTGAGGACCATCACAACTTCTGGAGAGAATCTGTGTGCCTCACACTTTCACTCAAACACTTGCTCTCTTGATTTGGAAAAGAATTTGAAAGCTAGAGGCACTGCTTCCTTGGCCTAATACCACTTCAATTTGAGCCTAGTGATGAAGGAGATTTGGCATTAGATGGGGATTTATTTAGTTCGTTTTTAATGTTACTGAGTTTACTTATATGAAATAGCTGAATCTTTCCCTTTGAACTATTTAATGCTTGACTTTTAAATTGCATTCATCAGAGCTTTCCAAATTGACAAGTTAAAATCCCGCTGATCTACATTATCCACGTATCAGATCTGTTCAGACTTAGCTGATTTTGTGACTAGCCATTCCTTCAATCTCTCTCTGTCTCTCTTCATAGGACAACCCTCCATATGACAAGGGAGCCTTCAGAATCGAAATCAACTTCCCAGCAGAGTATCCATTCAAACCACCTAAGATCACTTTTAAAACAAAGATTTACCACCCTAACATCGATGAAAAAGGGCAGGTCTGTCTGCCGGTAATTAGTGCTGAAAACTGGAAGCCAGCAACCAAAACTGACCAAGGTAAGATGTGCCCTGGGCTCATCCCTCAGGTGGCCATCCCAGGGTCTCGGTGTCCCCCGAACATGCTCTTTGTCTACTCTGGGTACGTCAGGAGGTAACTGACTCACTGTGTGATCATCTGGGCAAGTGTTGGGTGATCAAACTCAAGTAGAATTCGTCCCTGCTGTCACAGAGTGAAGTAGAAAACCACAAATTAGCATTATCTGTGTTTCTTTTGTTGCACATTTCCTAACTGCATTTTAATCTGGTTGGGCCACACTGGGAATTTTGCAGCCAACTCATTTGACATGTCTGGAGTAGACCAAAGAAAGTGAAGGGGAATGGAGGAGAGAGGCCCAGGAAGTGATGCTAAGTGTGGGCTGAATTACCTGGGCACCTGAGACACTTCTTCCTGGCTTCCCAGCAGCCCGGCCAAGTGCAGCAGAGCAGAGGGTGCCCGGGGAGCCCTGGGACATAGAGTTAGATGGCATTAGGCTTCGAGATGACCTGAGCCCGCTGGTCCATCGCTGTTGCCACGTTGGGTCCCCCACTAGACTGGGAGCCCCTCGAGGTCCGTGGCTGTCCTTTGCCTCTTTTCATGTCCCCACAGTGCCTGGCACACAGTAGGTGCTTCCACAAAGCCTGTTGTTGATGAAGATGGCATTTGGCATATGATCACTGAAACACTGAGGAGTCAAACTCCAAGGCAAGCAAGTCCCTTTGTCCCTGAACTGGCCCTGCCCCCCAGAGAACAGCACAGGAGCTGGAGAAGGCCCTGCTGGGTTACCAGTCTGCTCTGTGGATTCACACAGACTGGAGTGGAGTCAGGAGATTTGACTTGGAGTGCTGGCTCCGCTGGTGACTTCACCGTGCCGGCCACGTTAGTGCCAGGTTCACTGGTAACTTCATCATGCCAGCTACATTAGCACCGGCTCCCCTGGTGACTTCTCCGTGCCAGCCATGTTAGCGCCGGCTCTCCTGGTGACTTCACCGTGCCAGCCACATTAGCACTGGCTCCCCTGGTGACTTTACCATGCTAGTCACGTTAGTGCCAGCTCCCCAGGTGACTTCATCATGCTAGCCACGTTAGTGCCAGGTCTGCTGGTAACCTCACCGTGCCAGCCACCAACCAGCTCCCTCGGTGACTTCACTGTACCAGCCGTGTTAGTGCCGGCTCCGCTGGTGACTTTGCTGTGCCAGCCGTGTTAGCGCCGGCTCCGCTGGTGACTTCGCCGTGACAGCCACATTGGCCAGTCCCTCATTTTCTGTCGGCTTTACTTTCTTCAGGTCTGTACTTGAGGTGAACTCTCCGCGCTCTCCAGGCCCTTGCGACTCCAGCACTGCGGGGTCTGTGAACTACATGGCCTGGCAATTCAAAGTCGCTGAGCCTTCTTTGGACCGAAAGGTTTCGTGCTTACCCTTAATGTAGTCCCATGTTCAGGGTCTGAGCTGGAACATTAGCTTAGACTTTCCTTTGAGGCTCATGTTGTTTGAAGTCCGTGGGAGTGTTGAGAGCACCCTGTGAGCTGAAGGCCAGCAGACTGAGCTCCCCACTGGGGGCGTGAGGCAGCTTAGCGCAAGTTCTCCCCTCCAGCCTTCTGACTTGGTTCCCGGGGCACGTGAAGTCAGGGGCCGAAGACTGTCTCCTGCATCTCTCGCTAAGTGGTCAGTCTGAACCAAGGCCCGCACATCCCCAAATCCTTCGCCCTCTTTTTTAGAAGGGGGTGTCTTCCACCTCCTTGTCTGAGGGGCATCTGAGTAAATGTCAGGAGATTCATGTTCAGGTCCAGGTTTTTGTGGCCTTCAGTGTTCACAGTCATCAATGGACTGAGACTCTTGGGCTCCTCACCTCCCAGGCGCCCAGTGGATGACCTCACGGATGAGGGAGGGGAGGGTCGGAGAGGGGCCGTGCCACAGCTAAGCCAGTATGGTCTCTGAGGCAGGCCACCCACTTCCCAGTATCCTCATCTTGAATCTTGCCTTTTTGTGTTGGGGTGGTGCTGGTTGTGAGGGTCCAGTCAGATCATATTTGTAAAACACGTAGTGCTGCACTTGACACATAGTAGGCACTCTAGAGCTGCCTGTGCTCTTCCCGTTCTCACCCCCGTTCAGGGCCCAGCCTGCTTTCCTCTTCATTCTGGGACTTATTCTCGGGGACTACTTGGGGCGTGTTATTTCTTCCTGCTTCTTCCTGTCAGAGGAGGTGGTAGAACCTGATGAGAAGGCTGTAGCCTCTGTGAACAAGCTTCATCTTTGGGCAGCAGGGGCTCTGCTCTCGTATGAACCTTGGGCCTCTTGGGCCTCCGGCTTTTGACTCACCATGGAGCACAGTGAGGCTGCAGATCACAAGGTGGAATCTCGTTTGGAGCCTTGTTCTCCTCAGGAATGCAGAGATGCTACAGCTTCAGCCACAGGCCTTACTAAGTTGGACGTTAGGAAGACAGGGCTCTAGAAAGTTCTTTTTTGCTGCCCCGTAATGGAACAGAGGGAACCTTCCCACCCCCAAGCCTTTGCTGGGGGCACAAGGTCTGGGAGGGCCTCCTAGGCCAGAAGGAAATCAGGCCCCAGTTCCATAACGAAGTGAAGACCAGTGGTACCAAGCCTGGCCCAGCAGTCAGGGAGGCTCTCCAGGTAATGCTGGCCTTGGCATCAGGCCTTTCTCAGCTGCTGCAGCTGGTGGTGAGAGGGCGGCCTCAGCTTCGGTGCGGGGATTGAGTGCTGATGGGAGGGAAATCACAAACACCCACCCCAGGCGAAATGTGCTCAGTCTTAGCAGGTTCCTAACCTCCACTTGTGTCTGCCTGGCCTTGAGACTCCCTGGCTTATCCCTGGTGATTGATTGCTAACAGCTTTAAAGAAAAAATTAGGGACATCATTACCTTCCATTGATGTTTTTAGGTCCCTCCCCTCTGCCCCCCATAGGACTTTTCTTGACTGACCGTTCCCCCTCTACTCTCCATACTGTCATTGAATCATTGACTCCAGGAGCTGGAAGAGATCCTCCGGTCCAGGGGACCAGGAACCTTTGTTAAAAAAAAATTTGGTAACTGTATCTCACTATAATTGGTTTCCTTTAAGTCTTTGAATTTTACTCTATGCTTGAAAAGCATTTTGAGAAGGGGTCTATAGGCTTCTCCAGACTTCCAGAGAGATCATAATGCAGAAGAGGTTAAGAACCCCTAATGTAGGCTATTGCCCTGTGTGCTCGGGAGCCTGCTTCTACAGTATCCCTGTCAAGTGGACCGTCCAGCTTTGGCACTCGCCGCTTCATAAGGCTTCCAATTCCATGTTTGGACCAATATAATTATTAATTGAGGGCAGCTAGGTGGCACAGTAAATAGAGTGCTGGGCCTCAAGTCAGAAAGATTCATCTTCCTACGTTCAAATCTGGCCTCAGATACTTACTAGCTATGTGACCCTAGGCAAGTCACGTCACTGTTTGCCTCAGTTTCCTCATCTCTCAGATGAACTGGAGAAGAAAATGGCAAACCACTCCAGCGTCTTTGCCAAGAAAACCTCAAATGGGGTCATGAAAAGTTGGACACGACTGAAAAACAATTGATCAACAGAATTATCTATTGTATTTGATGTAATTATCACTCTACCAGGAAGACAGTGAGAGAAAAATAAAACTAACACTTGGTCCCAGCCCTCGTGGAGCCAGCCAGAGGCTTCAGCAGAGCCAGGGGACTTTTATGTTGAGTCAGAATCTGCCTCCCCTAGATGTCGGCCCAAGGGGGCTTCCCCCCACCCCCCAGGATACACAGAAAACAGAGGAAGCTGACTTCTCCAAGAAAACACTTCTGATCATTTGGAATAATTGGGACCTTCCCCTGACCCCTTCCGGGCTCCTCAAACTCTCTAGGCTAAATATGCCCATTTCCTTGGATCTATTCTTAAAGGAACACTTATGTTCTTTGCCCTTTGTGCCTGGTACCCAGCATACCAGTCTAAACAGAAAGGACACCCGTGCCCTAAGGAGCTGCCAGGATGCTGAGGAAGGAGAGACAAGTACAGACAGAGAACTGCTGCTGCTGGGTGGCTCTGAGAAAAGCCGATCTTTTTGGCAGCCTCGTGAGCCAGGCTGAAGGCTTGAAGGCAAGCGGGGAAGCCAGCTAACTGGATGCCAACTCCACAGTTGTGAACAGAGGTTGAAGGACCACACGCCATCTTGATACTTACTCACTTAGTAGTCAGTCAGTCGGCCAGCCCTTAGGAAGCAGGTGCTGTACTAAATCTCTGGGATGGAAAGAAGCAAAAATCAGGCTGTCTTCTCCAGGAACTCACAGTCAAGTAGGGGAAGAATCCACACCAACAACTCTCTACAGATGAGAGGCATGCAGGATAAGTGGCAAAGCTGGGGGAGCCAGGAGGCAGAAGGAAATACTCAGGAGATTGAGCGTCAAGGTCAGTTACCAGCAGGAGGCCAGGGCCACTGGATTGTAGGGGACATAGAAGGGAATAAGGTATTCTGATGCCAGGAAAAGTCGGAGGGGGCTAAGTTAGGAAGGGCTTTACATACCAGTGAGGGCATTTGGTATTTCATCCTGGAGGCAGTAGGGAGCCATGGAGTTTATGGAGTAGGCAATGACAGATCACTTTGACAGTTGACTTGAGGATGGCCAGAAGTGGGGTGAGACATGAGGTGTCAGAGGAGAGGAGGAGGCAGATACAGGAGACGTGAAGGTGGGAGTGACAGGACCTAATGACTGATTGAATGTGGTTGTTGAGAGGGGGGAGTTGGGGATGAGCTGGGGGACTGGAAGCATGGCGGTGCTCTCCAAAGTACGAGGGAGGCTGGGAAGAGGGGAGGGTTTGGGGGGGGGAATCAGGAAGTTTGGGGCATTTTAGTTTTAATCGTCTACAGGACATTAACTTGGAGATGAAAGAGTGAAGGCCAGCAAAGAGCTTAGGGCTGGACAAGTGGATTTGAGAGTTAGCAGCATAGAAATGATCATTCAAACCAGGAGAGCTGATGAGATTTCCAAGTGCAGTAGGACAGACTGGGAAGAGCAGAGGGC